AACTGGTGAGGACTGTTGGCTAGGTATTCTCCGCCTTATCCCCTGGTAAACATTACCATCTTTCTCCACTATTCAACAAACGTTATTTTTATAAAAACGACAATAATGGGATTAACTCTAGTTCTAGCTCTATAAATAATTAATACAAAAAATGTGAATGTTTGTAATTGGAAAATATGGCAATGGTGGGAATATAATGAAGTATAAAATTTTAAAACGTTCTATTTGATCGATTTTAATATATGGACCTGACGTATTTAGGTAATACGGACGTAAACATCATTTTACCGCAGAGGGAAAGTTGAAGTTGAATTTGTGTACCCTACGTCGGATTTTAGGTAACGTTGTAAAAATCCTTTATTTAAATATTTTTAGATGACAGATTTTTAATGAAACATTTTGGTACTAAACACAATCACTAGAGCCTTCATAGCTGGAAGGTGCGAACACATTTAAATAAACAAAAATAAACGACAACACGTTATGGGGCTCATTTCAACACGTGGACCTACCTACTTCTATCACATGACAATAATCCGTCCAATGAGAACTCAATATGCAAAATTCATTGGGACTGCAATCAGTGAAATACCGAATATAAAGGGAAAAGGATTTCTATTCTTTCAGAAATTCTTCCTAAACTTTCACGATACCTTAAATCACTATCGCAGTTCATGATATGGGCCATAACCCCCGGATAAGGATACAACCCGATTTCAAATATATCTTACATTTTAACCATATTTTCATACTATTTTCGGCAAATGTTGGTAATTTGGGAAGAAATCATCCATGCAAAAACTGAATACGTTTTGTATAACCATCATATGATTTAAGGAACCGGACATTTGTTTAATCGTCTTTGAATTATACTATGACGAACATTTAGTGATGTTACAAATGGAATGAAAAGTTAATATACCCTCCTTTCCAAGGTGGATGATATAATAGCATTAAAGACTACAATTACGGGCCGGCAACACGGACCGGGCCAGCAAATTCAGAATTGTCTCTTGCCGGATAAAATCTAAAAAAATTGCGTAAAAATGTGAAATTTGAAAATTTTAATTTTGACTTTAAATATTGACTAATTATTTTCAAATGTACATTTGTAGCGTTTTTTTATTTATTTATTTTTTTTTTTTTCAAAATCTGATTTGTAGTCTTTTTAGTTTAGTACAAAGCGACAACGGACAATTTTATGTATCTATTGGGTAAGTGGAACTACATGAATAATATCATTTTAGAAGACAGATTTTGACAATTCATACAATTTCGGAATTGTATCTTCGCAGAGAAAATCGCGTGAAAATAGGTCAATTAAAATATAAAGTAAAAAAATATTTTTGGCGTGAAATTTTTTCAATTTGACATACTATATTGAAGTTTAAATTTTTTATTGTTTTGAATTCTGAATCAATAATATTAAACATGAAATGAGTCGCAATACGATGTTAAATGGCGATCTTTCATGTAAAAAATTGGCATCTTGTAACTTTAACCTACATCGTGCCTCAGCTGAAAGATGCGAACACATTTAAACAAACAAAAATGACAGATAAGGCGTTATGGGTCTTATTTCAAAACGTACGTCTACTTCTTTCATATGACAATAATCCGTCCAATAAGAACTCAAAATGCAAAATTTATTGGGACTCTAATCAGTGAAATTCCGAATATAAAACGTGCAAAATAGTAGGGCAAATTAGAAATCTGGTTAGAAAAGCATTTATATCCTTCCAGAAATTCTTCCTAAACTTTCAAGATACCTTAAATCGCTTTCGCAGGAAATGATATGGATCAAATCCTCCGTACAAGGGTACAACCAGATTTCAAGTATATTTTACATTTTAACCATATTTTTCATACTAATTGGCAATTTGAGAACAAATCATCCTTCCAAAAAATAATCACTTTTTCGTATAATCATCATATAGTCCTGGCTACTTTTTTTCATTTTGGCATTTTTGTTTTTAAGGGTGTAGAAAAGATATGTGGGAGAGATAGCCAATGCAAGTGACTATATTTCACCACGGTTAAGCTTCTACCCACCTGACATACACATACCTGACAGAGACACCAGGGCCCATAACAACCCACCTTTCCGCGACATAACTGTTTATACCGACGGTGTCTTCTGTGATACCCTTAATGTTCGTGAATCCTACAAGCTTGGAAACAACTGTAGCATATTTCAGGCGGAAATCTTTGCGGTCAAAAAGGCCACAGACCTGCTGGTCACGAGGAGCACTGAGGTCAGCTGTCCGGTGACTATATATGTCGATAGTCAAGCGGCACTGAAGGACTTAAATTCCTTTACTATCAAGTCTAGGGCTGTTTTGAACTGCAGGAAAGCTTTGGAAAACACTGGGTTGTCCATCAAGCTCTGTTGGGTTCCTGGCCATTATAACATCCCAGGTAACGAGACTGCAGACGAATTGGCCAGGCTAGGATCCGAATCAACTACAATTGAAGTAGACAACTCGTTTAAACCACCACTGTGCCATTTCCTACAGATCATTTACAGATATTACGAAATGGGATGCACCATCTCCAAAAGAATCTGGCCCACACTCCAGAGAAGAGAACAAGATCGCTGATGTCATTGTCAAACCCTGATCTAAAATTTGTGGTGGGTATCATCACAGGTCATTGTAAGGTGAGGGCTATGATCTCGAAATGGGACAGCGACGACATTGACTACTGTAGATGAAGAAGAAATGAGACAGTCGAACACTTGCTCTGCCACTGCCAAGCACTCATTAATGTGAGACACAGACTAGTGGAAGAACGAGTGTCACATAATTTGTATTCAATTAGCCATCATCCTTCAATTAGCTAGAAGATTCAAGTGGCTAAAGGCGACACGGCATACTCATCAGCCATAGATCACACTCTATAACTCTATCTCTGATTGTCACCTCTTCTACTAAACACTTTTTCGCGTAAAAATGTGAAATTTGAACATTTTCATTTTGACTTTTGAAATGAAGAATAATAATGACGATTTAGCCATGTCCGTCTGTGTGTTTGTCTGTCTGTTGTAACCACGCTATCTTTCGAACATGCACACATGTTTATTTTGCCAGTAGGCAGGTTAAGTTCGTGGATGGTCCATGTAGGTTCACGTTTTCATATAGCCCCCATACAACGTTACCTCTCGATATTCGGTGTTTTGATGATTTTAGCGAAATTATTTACGGGAATTGTTTCATATTTGGCATTTGAAGTTCGAAATGGACACTACAGCCTATGCCAGAAAATTGTCTGTGCAAGTCCACGTTTCGTATAGCCCCCATATAACGCTACCTCCCTATATTCGGTATTTTGATGATTTTAGCGACATTATTCACCGGAGTCGTTTCAATTTTTGTGTTTGAAGTTCGAAATGGATACTACAGCCTAAGGCAGAAAATTTTCTATACAGGTTCACATCTTCGTATAGCCCCCATATAACGGTACCTCCCGATATTCGGTATTTTAATGATTATAGCGACATTATTCACCGGAATCGTTTTATATTTGGCATTTGAAGTTCGAAATGGATACTACAGCCTGAGACAGAAAATTGTCTGTGCCAGTCCAGGTCTTCGTATAGGTCCCATATATCAGTAACTCCTTATATTTGATATTTTGACGATTTTAGGTACAATACTCACCGAAATTGTTTGAGATGTCGTATTGGAAGTTCGTAATGAAAGCATCAGCCTGTACAGAATATTGTCTATACAGGTTCAGGTCTTCGTATAGCTCCTATATAACGGTACCTCCCTATGTATGGTATTTTGATGATTTTGGCTACATTATTCACCATTTATTTCAAGTTTCGAATTTGAATATGGTAATGGCTTGTGACAAACAATGCCTAATATAACGGTTATATTCGGTATTTTTAAAATTAATTTTTTAATTAATGTTATCTTTTTCGAAAATTTTTAAATTCGTTCTAAATGGTGGAGGGTATTCAAAGTTCGGCCCGGCCGAACTTACTGCTTTTTTACCTGTTTTTTAGGTCAATAATAATGTTATTACTAAACATCACCTTAAATTACTCTTAGAAGATAATTCATAGTTTATTCAATTGTGTAAATATAACAGCGATTTTTTTATCAAAAAATTAAATTCCACCAACAAAAATTGAAGTTGTTATGAAGACAAAAAATTAAAAAAATCACAAAAAAAAATTAAAAAATTATTAATCTCTATAAACATGTTTTTAGAGGCGCAAATAAACACTTACAATATATTTTATTTCAAAACTCGTACAATCACATAACAGCGTTACCAAAAATTCGACGTACTCATATGTATACGTCGGGCGTGCAAAATTTCAAAGTTGAACATTTTAAGGCTGGGAATACTTTTAGGTTTGGAAAAGAACCACCAATCCCCATCAGTTCCCTTGTCTTTCTTTTTTGGTTCCTCTTCTATTGAGCTTACGATCTCGTCACTTGGGTAAAAAGGTGTTTTTTTTTTTTTGTCATAAAAGTTATTTTTAAAATAACTCCTGGGGTAAATCTCCAGACAGAAGAACAAGGGAACTGGTGAGGACTGTTGGCTAGGTATTCTCCGCCTTATCCCCTGGTAAACATTACCATCTTTCTCCACTATTCAACAAACGTTATTTTTATAAAAACGACAATAATGGGATTAACTCTAGTTCTAGCTCTATAAATAATTAATACAAAAAATGTGAATGTTTGTAATTGGAAAATATGGCAATGGTGGGAATATAATGAAGTATAAAATTTTAAAACGTTCTATTTGATCGATTTTAATATATGGACCTGACGTATTTAGGTAATACGGACGTAAACATCATTTTACCGCAGAGGGAAAGTTGAAGTTGAATTTGTGTACCCTACGTCGGATTTTAGGTAACGTTGTAAAAATCCTTTATTTAAATATTTTTAGATGACAGATTTTTAATGAAACACTTTGGTACTAAACACAATCACTAGAGCCTTCATATAGAAAATTTGTAAATAAAAATAATAGGATAATTTTTGTATAATGTTTATTATGAACATTTATATCATAAGACCTATATACGACAATTTTATTAACTAAATTTAATGTTGATGACCAAACGTTATAACCAATGGTAAAAGAGTTCCACATATCATTATAATAAGTTCGCTGTATTTTAAACCACCAATGGATGATGTCACATTTTGTTGAGGCGCTGAATTTGAAATTGAAATTTCTAAAGGATGATAGTCGTAATGAGATTGTGAAGTGCGTTTATCGTGATCACTTTGCGTCAATTCCGGTAATACATGAACGGTTGCTACGTACAGAAATGTCCCAGCGGAAAATAACATGGCTATACCAGTCGCATTTACTGAGTTCAATGTTTCTTTTTGTTCTTGACCAATGCAAAAATATGTTAACAATGTTAAAAGTGGGGCGGATAGGCAAAAAATTGCCAAATGTTTCCGAATATTGTGCCGCTCAATCTTTTCATGTAACAAAAAACTTACGAGTCCAAACGCTGCAGGAGCTTTATGTAACATTATAGCAAGAAATACAATCATTTCGACATCTTGATGACTTGTAGTTGCTGCTGCACCTAACGCCACACCATCCACTACAAAAAAGAAAAAAAATTCATTACGGAAAAAACATTATTTTATACTAGCAATATTCTGCTAGTTCGTGTGTTAAGTTATATTGAGATAACTGCTGACTGCTTTAATAAAAGACTTCTTTGATCTACGATTTATTCTGAAAACTGAAATACGTTGTAAAGGTAAAGCAATAACACGGCTTTGGTGTGTATGACAATGACGGTGTTGTTTGTCTGACTAAAAGAGACATTGGTGCACAAAACAGTACGTTTGCGGTGCTCGATAAACGAAAAATTGGTAGTAATTGCCTTCTAATAGACCCTACAAAGTATATATATACTGGATCAGCGTAAAATTCTAAGACGATGTAGCGATGTACGTTTGTCTGACTGTTGTAATCACGCTATCTTTCGAACGAATTGAGATATACGGCTAAAATTTTGCATACATGCATATTTTACCAGTAGGAAGGTTAAATTCGTAAATAAGCCATGTCGGTCCACGTTTTCGTATAGCCCACATATAAGGGTACCTCTTTATATTCGGTATTTTCATGATTTGAGCGACTTTATTTAGCGGAATTATTTATAATTTCGTATTTGAAGTTCGTAATGGGTACTACAGCCTATGACAAAAAATGTTGTATGCAGTTCCACGTCTTCGTATGGCCCTCATATAACGGCAACATCAGCAACATTATTCACCGGAATCTTTTCAAATTTCGTATTGCAAGATCTTAATGGTTACTTCAACCGATGGCAAAAAATTTCGTACGCAGGTCCCCACCTTCGTATAGCCCCCATATAAAGGTTTTCAATTAAGTGGTAGTTTTCGCATTTTTTTTAAATTTTCAAGTTTCTTCCAAACTTAGCTGCTTTTTTACTTATTGTAAATAGTTATTAGTTCTTACTATATTTTACTAATTTGTCTAATCATTGAAAAAATAAGAAAGTTATATCAAACAGTCTTAAAAATATTAATGTATAATAACAAGTTTTGAAGTGTTCTAATGGACTAACGTTTAAGACCTCTAGCAGGGTTTGGAGAAGAATATTATCAAAGTATATTATTGTTATCTACAGGCTCATCTTTATCGCCTTCTTTTGTGAGAATTGGTTAGTACAATACAAATAAGCAAACGTGGCCAAAATCTTATATCAATATTCAACAACATGAAAACAGCCTACAGGAAGAGAAGGATGAGAAGCCAAGGTTGTAGGCTATTTGAGGTGTAGACCGAAATATCTTTTTTAAAAACAAATATGGAAAAATTTGGACTTGTGAACCTTCTTCAAGAGATAAGCTAGTGGGTTTCGAATGTTTTTCATGTTGTGGTTATAATTTGTATAGTGATTAAGATCGAAATGCTAAAACATTTTTTCTGTGCTATTAAGATCAATTTTGTGATCGTCGAGAGATCTACTTCTATGTCGCCCATACATATACTAATTCTTCGATGGTTCGCTGAAAGGCTGGTTTGTTTAACCCTTTATTAGTGTTAATGTTTGGGAAGTCTTTGCTTAGGTCATCGGATTCCATTTGGAGTTATGCTTCAAAGAAATCCAAATGTCTAAATATGCAATCGTGATAATCTGTTAGAATTTCTTTCTGGGCAAAGGTTCGAAATCTGGTTTGAGCTAACTTCTCAGGCTACATATGCATTCTTTGATATTTGCCGACACCAAACTGTAACTTGCTTCCCCAAAGGTTAAAACTTTGTATTCAGTCACTCCCGTCATGTTGAAGTAATCATGTATTTGTGATTCGCCAGGAAGTGATCTTTTGCATTAAAAAAAATATTATTTGCTAGAAAATTTAAAAGAATTTGAGAGTACTGTGTCGGAAATTCGATCTGATTTATCTAAGCGCCTTGAAGATATAAGGGATGATGTGCGGTAGTGCAGTGATCTTGTTAGTTTTCATGATGTTGCTTATAGAAATAAATTAATGGAGCTTGACCTTCAAAATCATTGTCTTCAACATAGATAGAACAGGGCGGATATCATGCCTGATAATCTCGATAAGTTAAATGACATTGCTGTCTACATCTGTGAGTTTATTAAACTGGATATTGCCTCTGAGCTTGGAAGACTACGTTCCATACTTATGAATTAAGGGATGATTGCATATTATAAGTCAACATCTCTTATTGTTTCTGATGTCATTGGTGGTTCTGACGGAAATCGTGTATATCTGAATGATAATTATTCTTATCTAGCCAACAAAGCTTGGAAAGTTTGCTTAAAACTTAAAAATGTAACAAAATAACTGATTTTATTCTTATAAATCGAGAAATACTTAAAGTAAAATTTATAACGCCCAATAATGTTTCCCAAATTCTGAATTTTCAAGAGTGTGTTGATGTTTTTAAAAGCAATCAACTTATTGGGAAATTAAAGTTAGTCAATTAAACTCTAATTCGTTCGAATTTATGGTTATCACGGTTTTTCTGTTAAGTGGCTATACCACCATCAATGAATTATTTTTTCATATTGAAAATGTTATTTGAAATCTTAAATATGTTTTATATATGATATCACCGGTACCCCCAAATATATGAATATTGCTTCTATTTAAATAACTCATAACAGTAATCTCGGTCCTGTAGCTACAGATAGTACTATATTGAAAAACTTTACTTCCACTTTTTTAGGTAACGTAAATATTGATCAGTTTATGAGAGCATTCACTAGGACATCTCTGAACATCGTTGTAATGGAACTTTAACAATAAGAATTTTTGATGCCATCAAATCTTTTAATTTTCGTTCACTTTTAAACAGATGTATGCTTCATTGCGTTTCTCACTAGTCAACCATGTTATTATGTAGCTTGTAATAGCCAAATTCGTCACACCACAATCTGAAATTAATCTCTCTTAAATTTGAACCTCAATAGAGACAAAGGTGTGTTGAATTTAAAGATTATAAAAAGTTCAAAATCATCGATTACCTTGAGGTGGTAGATGAGTTTGGTTTGAGTTCGGTATATGATGTGCAACATGTTGATTCCCAGCTGTCTAATTTGAATAATCTTATCAATTTATTTTACTTTTCCAAATACACGAGTTAGGGCAAACTCTAAGGATAGATGAATTCATGTGAATTCTTCAGGCTAGGAAAAAGAGGAAAACTGGTAGAAATATAAGCGTTTAAGAAATATAAGCGTTTAAGAATAAGAGCGAAGGCTATAATTAGGAAAGTTCGTTTTCAATTTGGTAAAAATTATTTTTCATGTGTTAAAGGTCCCCAAAAAAGTTCGGCAATTAGATTTCATTGGTTGCGAAAACATCGAAATTGATGAAAATGAAGTTGAGGTCATATCGAATAAATTTTTAAGTAATGTGTCCCTCGTTAACCTATTTTTTGATTTCGATAGTTTTGTTGATGATGTTGATTCATTTTCGTCCTATTACTGAATATGAGCTAATACAATCTCTAAATCCTATTACATCAAAATCGTCTGAATATGATTATATACCAACAAACTTCATTTAACTGATTTTTCCTGCAATATCGACTTTTTTACTACATATATTTAACAAATTTCTCACAGTCTCCTGTTTTCCTGATGCCTGGAAACTTGGAAAAATAGTTCCCATAACACCCAAAAATTGTCTTGACGCTATTAGAAAATATAGACCGATTTCTATTTTATCTCCGGTATCCAAATTCCTTGAAAATGTTATGAAGGAACAAATTCTTTATCATTATGATCGAATCTTATTTTTTAGTCTCCTTCAGTTTGCTTTTCGAAGAAACCATAATACAACTTCAGTTTTTTTTTTCAATTACCGACTCTATTAGAGAACAGCTTAAAAGCATGTGTTCTCATCTCCGCAGTCCATGTGGTAAATAGTGTGGCCGTCGATTTAGTGGCGGATATTTTCATATTCCTCGCATGGAAGAAGGCGGCAAGCTCCGCGATCTAGTTGTTCACCCTGACACATATGTCATCAACTACAGGACCCGACGCCATGATCGTACAGTCATCCGCATATGTTACGAGTCGATGCCGTCTGGAGGGCGCGGAATTCCGGAAAGGTAGAGGTTAAACAGTTCCGGAGATATCACCCCACTTTGGGGAACTCCCTGTTTCACTCTACGGGGCTTGAACTTCTTATTCCGGAATTCCACGTACGACTGGCGTCCACACATATAGTGGACTATCCAAAGTTTCAAACTTGGCCGGAGAGTATTTCATTTTTCAACGTCCTCGAACAGCGTGGCATGATTGACCGTATCAAAGGCCTTTGATAGGTCGAGAGCCACCACTACTGTTCTATGGCACGGCCGTTTTGGTTACTGATATGTGTGGATATGGCGTGCAATGCTGTTGTATTGCTATGTAGTGGGCGGAAACCGTGTTGATGGTTAGCAACCGAATAGCTTCCTCTGATACTGGGGAGGAGTAAAGCCTCGAGAGTCTTTGCTACTGGCGACAAAAGTGAAATTGACCTGTATGATTCGCCTTTACTGGCATCCTTGCCAGGCTTCAGTAGCAGGACCACACTGCCCATTTTCCAGGCTTCGGAAACTATGTGGATGGCTAACGACAAGTTAAGAACTTTGATACTCAACTCCCGGTGAATGTAGTTGCTTCAACATTACCATTGATATTCCGTCCGGGCCCAATGCTTTAGATGACTTAGCGTTTCGGATGACATTCGCAACATCACATCCTCAGCGGAAAGAGCTCTCATACGACGTAGTACTCTTCGCCTCGCCCTATCACTCTCGGGGTGCTCGACAAATTAGCGGTTAAAATGGCCAGCGCACCTCTTCGGATCAGTCACCGTTACGTCGTTAAATATGACTGCTGTCCTATCATCCTTTTTCCAGGGTTCGAGAGTGACTTAACCGTTACCCACAGTTTACTCAAATCGGTTCCTATGTTGCAACACTTCAGATGGTCTAACCACTTTTTCCGCTTATGCTCCTGTACCAACCTGTTGACTTCCCCTGTCAGTTCACTGACTCTGGGATCAGTAGGGTTGGTACGTCGGAGCTCATCACGCTCATTCGCTAATACCGCTACCTCTGCTGGGAAATTTGGTCTTACTTCGGGTATTCGACCAGCAGGTATATAACGAGCGGCTGCAGCTTTGATGATGTCCCGGAAAATCCTTTCATCTACCCGAATATTAGAAGGATTGGGCAGTTCTCTGAAGCGAAGGTTGGTGAACTCTCTGAACTCAGGCCAGTGGGTTTTCCCATGGTTAAGGAAAGTGCGGCGTTCAGAGGTTATGAAATCGGGCGATCTGCTGATGGAGACGATTGTCGGGAGATGGTCTGAGCCAAGAGAAATGACGTCATTTATCAGACCGGGTCACACAATGGTTAAATCTGGCGAACTGTGACACTCTCTTCTTATTCGGGTGGGGGCATCCTCGTTTACCGTGCAAAATGTGGAGCAGTCAATCTGGTCTGCCAACGCTGATCCCCTCTGGTCATTACCTAGGACGGAATGCCACAACTCATGGTGGGCATTGAAGTCCCCTAGTACCAGGCGGTTATTGCCTTCCAAAAGTGGGCTTATATTAGGCAAGTAACGCGGTTCACAGCTATTAACCGGCAGTTCCACACTTGACTGCTACACCCATACACTCCATGTATGGGTCACCATGGGTCAAGCGAGATAGGTCTGTATTGAACAGAATGTTGTAACAAGAACGCTAATCCCTCACCTCCACTTCTGGTGCGATCTTTCCTCAATACGTTGTAACCTTTGCAACGTTGTAAACTACAATTTTCATTGAGCTTGGTGTCCTTGGCGCTGCGATCTTAATATTCCTCCGATTCATAAAATCCACTATCTCATGAATTTTACCTCGGAGTCCGTTCCAATTGAATTGCAAGAATGATGCACTGTCCGGAATTGGAACAGCAACATGTGGCGTTAGGTGCTGCAGTAAAGGTTGCTGTTCTAGAGACTGCGGGGGAGTTCCATACTCCGACGACGACGAGGTCGTGGACTCACTGGGGACTACGTTGGTACAGCACGATGCAACCTAGTCCCTATCGCTATAGTCTCGCAACCGGGTTAAACCGGAACAATTCCTAAAACAATTCCAACCTCCGCATCCATTACATCGCACCGAGACTGATCTATGGTGGATGGTGTTTGGCAAACCGTACAGAACCATGGTTCGGGGTTTTCCTCAAGCCCGGCACGGACTAAAAGAGTCCGGAGCAAGCATTCCGGGATGTGCTGCTCCCAATACAGAAAAATAAACAAACACGAACATGTATACACTGGGTTGGCAGCCGCTGGCTCGAGTGTCGTTGTTTCGGGTCAATCCGGTGTCGTAGAACCCGCCGCCGTGGGATTGTCGTCTATTGGCGTTGTGACTTCTGGTGTACAGCAGGAATCAATATTAGGACCAATTATATTCCTTTCCTACTTTAATGATATTGTTACTGCCCAAAAAAATCCAATTTGCGATACTTATGTTTTGCTAATGATATTTTCTTATTACATAAATCGTTTGATTCTGATCTTGATATAAATTTACATCTTCGTGGCGTGTCCGACTTGCTTTTATTTTATAAATTTGATATAAATCCTTTAAGAATAAGGCTATGTTTTTGCATCCACATAATCATGTCTCATGCCGTTGATTCTATGAATTGTCTTGGCATTACTTTAGATTCTAATCTGAATTACAGTGGTCACATAAATGATATTTCAAGGAAAGTGTGTCTTATTTTAAGAAGACTTTATTGTCTAAAAGCGTATACACCTACAACTGTGAGGAAACAAACACATTCATTATTGATGTCTTTGGTTAACTATGGTAATGAAGTTTACCCTGGAACAGGGATATATTATATAAATAAAATTAAAGGGATTGTAAGAAAATTGTAAGATATGTCTCTCAAATTGGTATATATAATCACGTGCGTACTATACAGTTAATGGAAGAATTCCTCGGTTGCATTCTTACTTCACCTTTAAGACAAAGTTGAAAAGTTATTTTCAATCATGTATATCTTTTGTAATTCTTGTTGTTTTGATCTATTTCTATGCTGCTGGATCAAGATCTTAAAAAAAATATAAATCTCTCTTATATATACTTTCAATATTCATATGGATGGCGGACCCTTTATTTTTTAGGCTTTAAGACGTTCTTTCCTTTTTTTTTTTGAAATAAAATGGAAATTGAAAAAATACACTACATTTCGCATCGACACACACTCTTTCATGGAAAAAAACTTGATTTCATCTTCCGTACAGACCATGCACACAGGAACTTTTTCCTATTTTTAACATATATATCCTAGATTGTGTTCTCTATTCCATGGATCAGTGTGCAGCAGTTTTAACCAAAATAGAATACATAGAATGGACAGACACGACTAAATGGACTGAACTTGTCAACCGATATATGGAAATGTATTTTAAAAATCATTATATGAACATTATATATAAATTAGATTTGTCTGGATTTGATGTTTTCCTGATTGTCCCAAAACTATTTCCCAGAAGTTCGCAGGTCAAACATTGACATATTTACCTGCGGCATGTACCACCAAACCAATAGTGGCCGTTACATTCTTATCTGCTGAATTTCTGCTTCGTTTCTGTGAAATCTGGTCAACCAACATCATGAAAACAAATCCCAAGACCAATGAAAGGCCAATTTTACGAGCGTGATCTGGAGCTTTTCGCATAAGAGTTTTACTTTCGACATTGGCAGGCGAGTTTACGGCAGTTAAAAACTCGTCTCCCAAGTTCATATACAGAGATCGAATTCCTTCTGGTATTATTACTGACAGAGCTGTTCCAACAAGAAGGCCAGCTCCAAAAACCGTTACTAGTTTCAGCTTCTCCTGTAAATGTTTATCATTTAACACAAACTTTTTAGAATTGTTACTTTCGTACTTCACTTAATTTCATCACCAACGGAATGTTACCAGCGAAATAGGAGCCAAAAAGCATTACCAAACAGAGTATTAATAATACAAATGTTTCATCAGTCATTTTAAATAAAATAGCCTTTCCTAATCCTAACTAATATAATATAATAAACATAATTTATCAAGCGAGTTAGGAAATAAAACCCTAAAACAGTATACGTGGTAGTTTACTACTTAATAAACAAACCAACAAACTCAGTCAACTTGTGAAACTTGGTTGTAGAACATGCCGCACTATAAGAAGCTGGCTCTGTAGTGAGATTACAGTAACAGCATGTTTTCATTGATATTTAAAAACATTTACACTCAGAATTACGAACACGATTCACAAGACGCAATTTATTTATTCCTATCATGATACAATAATATTCAAGGTAGGGCACATGGTAGAATAATACAGCAAATTTTGTACAAAACACTCATTGTGGAAGAACACAGTTAGCCGCATCGACGCAGTTGATGAGACAATGAACTGTCAACCAATTTTTTAAAATGAAAATATTATTCAAATTTGTAAAAATTCTTGACAAATGCATATTGTCATGGTACAATAAGGAGGTGGAACAGCTTCGTAAAACTACAGAAATACAGCCCTGAGGCTATGTCCGCTTATGTCAGACTCATTCAAAATTGTTTTTGTTACCATTTTTTAATATTTTTCCTCATTTTTAAAATGAGTTAAACAGAGCAAAAAATGAATGAAATACTTGGATTTTCTCTCAAAAATATGATTTAAACTGTTCAATTTTATGGCTAAACTGGTTAATAGCTTTAGTGCTCGTGCACTGTACGTGCCATGGTAGAAGAATATAGGTAGACGCGTCGACACAGCTGCTGGGACGATGAACTGTCAAACCAATTTTGAAATTGAAAATGTTGAATGAAAAATTATTTAAATTTGTAAAAATTGTTGAAAAACGCGAATTATAATAGCCTCCGAATAACGTAGTATAAAAAAACATATAAAAATCTACTTATATTTGAAAAAACATTGAATTTTTTTTTTGACATATCAATGCTCCCAAGCGTTGATGCATCTACCTGTATTCTTCTGCCATGGTACGTGCCTTCCAAACATTGGTTTTGAAAATATTTTATTTTCTTTTTTCAAAATAATAAATACATACACAAAATTGGCAGCTAGCTGCTAGCTTTACCTTACCTTTTTATTGTACCATTCATATTAGGTGTGTCTGGTTACCCTAAAATTTGTAACAATTGTTACAAATTGTTACTGGAAGTCGTCTGTTAACCAGAAAGTTCTGCAAAATTCTTGCTGGACAAATTTCTTCTTGCAATCACTTGCAACTCTTCTTCTTCTCATTTATCGACATTCAATCAGATGTTTTTTATTGTTTGTTTATTTATTTTTGTACTTTTTATTTGAAAATGTTTTTTTTTTTTGGAATTTGAAAGACTAATTATTTTGGGAGAACAACTTTCAAAAACGTGGAAAACGTAAATATTAATATGTAATAAGGAAATAAAAGACTATTTCCAACATTTTAAACAATTACCATTAGCAACACATTAAAAGGATTCTGGGGAACACATAAAATCTATCCTTCTTTTATTGCTCATGTTTGTATTTTATTGCTAATGTTGTATTTTGTTGCTAATGTTGTTTATAAAACTTTTAAAATTGATGGTACTTCCTTTCTTTTAATTCTTTTAATGGGGGACAAATTGGTTTGTTTTGACAAAACAGCTGATTAGTTGCAAGCTTCTGCAGGAATACCGTCTGTTTACTTTTCGCATTTTCCTTGCAAAAGAGAATAAAACTACCTTACTCTCTCAGAAAGATGTTGCTGGACAATCCCGGCAGGAAAAGTAACCAGACACACCTATTATAACAACCTCCGATTAGTGTTGAAAACCAACAACTGATTGAAAAAAAAGTTTTAAAAAATTTTCTACCATGAACAATCGTAACACAAACACATACAAATTTGTTTTTGTGCGTAATACAAGTTTCAGAGTTATATGTCCTAAGTCTAAACAAAACAATTAATTTTCAATAAATTAGTTTAATTCCAAGAAATGGATTACAAAATTTAAAATGCAGCAGAAGAGTTCTTAAAGAATTTAATTTTAATGTTTTCATATCACTCCCCTGCAATAGTTGTTAGCTGGGGTCCAAATCTCTCAACAATTCAATCAATCGCTAGAAAATATTCTACATCTATCAATTTTAAGAAGCATCGCAACAATTTATTTTTTACCTAATGTGGTGTCGCTGTTCCTGTTTGACTATCGTAGTAAACTATTTTACATTCTTGCAGTTTATACATATAAATAATACATATATTTTGTGGTGTCCCTAGTCTATCAAAACCAGTGTTCGAAAATAAACAGTACTGTACCCATGGTAGAAGAATATAGGTAGATGCATCAGTGCTTGGAACATTGATATGTCAAAAATTTTAAAGTGTTTTATCAAAAATAAGTAGATTTTTAACTGTTTCCTTATACGACGCGAATGGGAGGTTGTTATAATATGCATTTTCAACAATTTTCACATATTTCAATAATTTTTCATTCACCATTTTCAATTCCCAAAATCAGTTTGACAGTTCATTGTCCCAGCAGCTGTGTCGATGCGACAACCTGTATTCTTCTACCATGACTGTACCGTAGTGTTCTGTACCGTTCCAAAGCGGAGTGGTACACTAAGATAATGTACCGTACCGGAGCACAGCCCTTAAAAATGTTTTAGTGATACTGTACCGGAGAACAACGAGAATCGTACTGTACCGCAGTCGGAGCACTAAAAAACGTAGTATTCCGCAGTCGGAGCACTACGAAATCGTAGTGTACCACATGGCGGAACATTAAAAAATAATGTACCGATAGTGTACCACAAATGTGTTGTTTACGATTTGTGAAAAAATAGATGTTTGATGTTTTTGATAATGCAAAAATTACTATTATAATTCAATATTATGAAAATAAAAGCTGAATTTATTTTATTCCTCATGTATGTTTAGATTGGTAGCGGAATTGAAGAAAGTAGAAAAATATGGGAATAGGTAGAAAGAATAAAAAAGCATGTTTGATGTTTTTGATAATGCAAAAATTACTAATACAATTCAATATTATGAAAATAAAAGCTGAATTTATTTTATTCCTCATGTATGTTTAGATTGGTAGCGGAATTGAAGAAAGTAGAAAAATATGGGAATAGGTAGAAAGAATAAAAAAGCACCAAATCTGAAGTTACAATAAATTGTATATAATCATTGAAAATTGAAATTTTTCATTGTAATTGGTTATTATGCAAATAATTTACCTGTTATTTTGTGGTACCAAAAAATCAATGAATGTAAGTGTAAAAAATTTAATATTTTACAAAGTATGGCTGAGCGTTTAAAATTAGTTTAATGATTTTTAATGTGGTACACTACGATTTTTTAATGCTGCGATTGCGGAACACTATGTTTTTTTAGTGTTCCGACTGTGGTGCACTACGATTTTTTAGCGCTCTGACTGGCGTACACTACGATCAACGTTGTGTTCCGGTACAGTACACTATGTTTGTGTACTGTTTATTTTCGAACGCTGATCAAAACATATACTCAGTTCGTATATGAGTGTGCAATAAAATAACGACAATTTCAACATTAACAAACCACAAATTTTAAAATTTTGGGATAAAACAATATTGTTTTTCTATCATTAATTGAATTTTGTTATATAACATCAACATTTCATCCATTTATTCTGTTTTCCCCATTTTTTAATAACAATTGCAAAGAAATTAAAATTATTTTATAAAACACGCTTCTTTTTAACATTAAGTGACTTTCGCACATAATAGCATATACCTAGTTACCTTCAAGCTAAATTACCTTTTTGGTTGTGCCTAAATTCAAATTTATATTCATAACCATGGTAGAATTAAGAAGGTAAAGTCAAGCAATCATATGATTATTTTTTTTTAAATTATTCATTTGGCAACATCTCTTTGTCAAAATGTTTATTTAAAGATTCAAAGTACATACACAAATCAGAAATGGGAACCTGCTTTTCAGTGAAATTTAACAAGGTAAATTAAAGAAAATACAAAAATGGGAATTCTTATTTGAAATGACTTTACCTTCTTCATTTTACCATGTAACATTTTACCATGTGATGAAAACGAGGATTATATTTTCAGAAAAAAACAACATTTTCCTCCCCTCTTGTAAAATAAATAATTCTTAGTCTAAAGTGCTCTAAAGATGAACGCGCTATGTGTTGTTTAATATCTCTAGTTTGCTTCACAAAGTTAAAATATTTATGTAATTTTTAGTGGCAAAAGAGCAAACTTTCAAAAAATGTTATATGCTCTCACAGGAACGGAAAAATAGCAACATAGAGTAAAATCGATATATCATCAATAATGACGCTACCAAACATCTGATTAAATAAAATACAAAGTTGAAAGATACATGGTTTTGCAGATTATTTTATCAATTGAAGACGAATTGAAAATATTACAATATAGAGTTTTTGGTTTTATTAGAAACATCAGATACCACGCGAATTTGAATTGAACAATATGTCAAATTCGCTGCTTGACGATTTTCCATTTTGCTCGCCCAAATCCAGAGTGTAAAAAGTTTCTGAAGACAACATATAAATAGAAGAAGAGAGCGCCTTTTTTATTTAACATTTTGCAACTTTTTGTTGTGCGGAAACGGCCAAAATGAACAAAAGTGGTATTTTATTTTTCAAGGCAATAAATGTATACACAAAATTAAGAAAAAAATTGTAAGCAGTTGTTAGCTCTACATTACTTTTTTATTATACCCTGTAGGAATGATAACCAATTTTTCCTTTATGATATCGTATGTGTCACCCTGTAAGAGAATTGTTGGTATCATTACTAGCAACGTTGCTAACTTCACTGAGAAACATCAACAATTTTTTGGTCGAATAACAAATAAATCTGGAGGCGGAAATAACAAATAGAGGGATCGACAATATCGATAGGATTATTCATAACGTTTTATCAGTCAAGGGTATGCTTCGGGGATTGACTGTTTTCAATCTCACAAACTCTAAAATGGGAAAATCTTCTGGTGAAAGTGACAGCTTCGAGGCTATTTCTAACACTGACCGCAAGCTGTAAGTTATATACAGGTCGCATTTGAATTGAATATTAACAGCTTTTTCTTAATGTTATTAAAGGTCGTGGTGGCTTGTTTTCTTTACGGTTGTTCTTCTAACATGTTCCACAAGATATTACAAAGTGACCGAGCCTGATCATGTTTGGTAAGTCCAAATCATACTTCAGAAGTCGCTGACATACAATTTCGGCTTAACTCTAGTTTAGTAATAACTCAATTTTTTTTCGAAATTTGTTCCAGTGGTAGGTCATTTTACTCTGATCCCGGGAAACTATTGTTTTCTTGGGGGACGGACCCGGGACCCCAGATTTTGACCCTAAAGTCGGGGTACAAGACCCCGACTAGACCCGGATCCAATTACCCGATATAGACAATATAGATATATGTTGGAAAGCTTATGAAGCTATCTAACAAGTGGTCAGATGATGGTAAGTGGTCACGGTTCGGAAGTTATAGTCAAATTATCGATTTTTTGAACGCAGATTTTTTATAAAACCCCCATATAGTCAAAAAAGGGCTCATTATGGGGGTCAACAAAATTGATGGCAATTTGTAGCTGATACTCTCACCTTTCCAAAATGCTACAAAATGTGCTAATACTTTTACTGAGTACAGAGATATGGGACTTTCCATCCGCATAACCAGATTCTAACCAGTTCATTGAAATGATGTTTTCAATAAAAATAAGGTTTATGGTAGCCGTCGTTGGATTACAAAAGCACCACATATAGAAAAGTTTGGTTCGCGTTAGCCGGTGTTTGACATACTCAGAGGAGAAAATCTCAAGCCACGGGCGAAGGCTGGCTATTTGCCAAAAGTGTCAAACTTAGAAAACTTTGGTTCGCGTTAGCCGATGTGGGACATACCCAGAGGAGAAAATCTTAAGCCTCGGCCGAAGGCAGCATATTTACAATAAGTGTCAAATTTAGAAAACTTTGGTTCGCGTTAGTCGGTAAGGGACATACTCAGAGGAGAAAATAGCAAGCCCCGGCCGAAGGCCTGCTATTTACAAAAAGTGTCAAATTAAGAAAACTCTGGTTCGCGTTAGCCGGTGTTGGACATGCCCAGAGGAGAAAATCCCAAGCACCGACCGAAGGCCGGCTATTTACAAAAAGTGTCAAACTTAGAAAACCTTTTTTAATTCCAACGACGGCTACGCGAAATAAACCTTTTTTTACTGAAAACATAATTTTAATGAACAGGTTAGAATCGGGTTATGCGGATGGAAAGAACCATATCTCTGGACCCGAAAAAGGTATTAGTAAAATTGCAGCATTTTGGAAAGGCAAGAGTGCCAGCTATAATTTGGGCCCTTTTTGGACTTTTTGGGGGTTTTATAAAAATCCGGGTACAAAAATCTATAATTTGACTATAACTTCCGAACCTTGACCACTTACCCCATCATGTGACCACTTTTTAGATAAATATCTTGTTCATAAGCTTTCCAACGTGTAACGACACGTTTCCCGCCTCCTGCTGGGGTATACTCAGGGGGGCAGGGTTCGTCACAGAAATTTATATTTTGCAGTGACGGAGAGGGAAGAAAATCAAGTTTTTTTTTTCTATTTACAAATTCAATGGATTTCTTTTATTATTATTTTTACTATATATACACACAATGTAGTTCGTCTAAGGACTACTGCTCGTGGTCATCGAAAGCCTCTCTGGCGACAGGTTGTTGCGTGTTGATACCTTCCCCGGATTGTATTCCTCTGTCCAGGCCCCTCGATGGCAAAAGTCGTCAGAACTGGTATGCAGGGAAACCTTTCGATCCTTCTAAAAGGGGTTCGGGAGACCTTTCAGCCCTCTAGGTCGTAAGATTTCGAATATTGTAGTCGGGAGACTTCCCTCTCGTATATTATAGTCTCGAGACTTTCGATCCGGAAAACACTAATTTTGATATTCGGGAGACCTTTCGGCCCTCTCAATCATACAAATCTTCAAATGTTAGAGTCGGGAGACCTTTCGGCCCTCTCGATTGCAAGACACGCTAAATTGTATAGTCGGGAGACCTTTCGGCCCTCTCGATCGGAAAACACTAATTTTATATTCCTGAGACCTTTCGGCCCTCTCGTTTATAAAAATCTTCCAATGTTAAAGTCGGGAGACCTTTCGGTCCTCTCGATTGAAAGAAACGCTAAATTTTAGAGTCGGGAGACCTTTCGGCCCTCTCGATCGGAAAACACTAATTTTTATATTCGTGAGACCTTTCGGCCCTCTCGATCATAAAAATCTTCAATCGTTTAAGCCAGGAGACCTTTCGGCCCTCTCGATTGAAAAAAAAACACTAATTTTTATATTCGTGAGACCTTTCGGCCCTCTCGATCATAAAAATCTTCAAAGGTTAAAATCGGAAACCTTTCGGCCCTCTCGATTGAAGGAAACACTAAGTTTTATCGTCGGGAGACCTGTCAGCCCTCTCGATCGGAAAAAAACACTAATTTTTATATTCGTGAGACCTTTCGGCCCTCTCGATCATAAAAATCTTCAAATGTTAAAATCGGGAGACCTTTCGGCCCTCTCGATCGAAAGAAACACTAAATTTTATAGTCGGGAGACCTTTCGGCCCTCTCGATCGAAAAAACACTAATTTTTAGATTCGTGAGACCTTTTCGGCCCTCTCGATCAAAAAAAAAGCACTAATTTTTAGATTCGTGAGACCTTTTCGGCCCTCTCGATAGAAAAAACACTAATTTTTAGATTCGCGAGACCTTTTCGGCCCTCTCGATCAAAAACACTAATTTTTAGATTCGTGAGACCTTTTCGGCCCTCTCGATAGAAAAAACACTAATTTTTAGATTCGTGAGACCTTTTCGGCCCTCGCGATAGAAAAAACACTAATTTTTAGATTCGTGAGACCTTTTCGGCCCTCTCGATCACAAAACACAAATTTTTAGATTCGTGAGACCTTTTCGGCCCTCTCGATAGAAAAAACACTAATTTTTAGATTCGTGAGACCTTTCCGGCCCTCTCGATCATAAAAATCTTCATATATTAATCTTCACTTGCACTTTAGGACAGGTAGGGAATTGGATTGGGGTTATTAGTTCCTTAGCAAATTAACTTACCCCAAGATTTTTTTTCCACCTGCTTCCAGCACGTTGCTCGGCTTCACCTTTTCCTTGTTTTTTTTTCACCCCGAGTCTTTGGTATCGCAGTCCTGATGTTCTGTCCGCGCGCGATCGTCGTTCTTCACTGACTGCCCCCCAATTCGCTCAGCACATCCCCTTTAAAGACTGGGTTCTGCCACGGCGAATTGGTGGCTTCGCTGCCATCTCCAATTTTCTCTGCAGTGATCGCCTGACTGCCCATTGGTTACCGTCGTCGAACAACGGTACTTTGTTTACCAACTTTTGATTCTCTCTCTCCCTTTCTCTGCCTCATTCCAAGGGACCGCTGTCCTGACCACTGCCTACCGTCGTCGGACAACGGTACCTTGTTTACACATTTTGCATTCCCCATGACTATTTTGTGCCCTACTGTACCCCAAAAATTATCACTCGAATGCAATTTATATTCTCTGTATTTTACAAGTGGGAAAAAACAAAAGAAAAAAAAATAGATTTAAAGGTGGGGAAAAAAACAAAAATATAAAAAAAAATAAAATACCATCCTGGCATTACACTTCTGTGTGGGGGAAAACGAGGTTTAGCGACTTTCCCCCCTCACACTGCTCTCCTCTCCCGGGGAATGACGATAGCGTCCCCCCTTCTATTGATATAAATGCGGAACGCCTGCCCGTCTGGTAAGAACACCACTCTCTTATATCGGCTATGTGGACGGTGGACGGCTAAGGCTTGTTGCACAAAAGGCTCCAACTGCGCGACTGTTCCTGCCGACAGTTGCGTTCTGCATTGGAATGGTGTACCTAAAGGGACGAAAATTTCGTCCTCGTTCTGGGCTTTTCCTGGACTTGTCATCTCGCTCGGGTTCCTTGTTGATGTGCTTGGGGCAGCCGACGGTGAGGTTGTATACAGCGACATCTCCGATGTGAGGGACTGAGAGCTCGACTCGGGTAGAACTCGTCCAACTATCGACTCGGAGCTTATGGGTGAGTAGGGTGGGATGTGTGAGGGTTGGCTTGCATCCGCCACCTCTAGCGCCGAGGTGTGGAATTGCGACACGGGCTCCCCCAGCAATGAGGACGAAGTCTGCAGCACTTCAGGATAAATAGGTGGGCTTGTGGGGGCGAGAACATATTCTTCCACTGACACAATTGGGGAAGGTGTGGTAGGATTCGAGGAACAGCGTGGCGGCGGGGCCTCACATTCCTCATCGCTCGATATCTCTATGACAGAGGAAATCGGCGATGTGATGGGGCAATAACGTTCCCTTTCGGTCTGACGCTGATGTCGGGCTATATCCTCCTCCGTCAGCCGTTCGACAATAACGAAACATGGAGGAAGAGCCTTTCCCATTGGGCAGGTCACATTGTCGGTGTTAGAGGTCACCCGTTGCAACCTGATTTTTAGGCCACTGGCCTCCAACTGGCGCCAACGTTCTTTGTAGTACGCCTTGGTGTGTGGGGCGGCCTTCATCTTCACTTAATTTTTTCCCGTCACCTACAAATAAACAAAAAGGTCATAACAAGTGGAAAGATCAATTGGGAAGGGTTGGTGGGGTTGGATTTCCAGAGGGGAAGTAGGGCTTGAGTTCGCTTAGGTGGACACTACGAAGTTCTCCTGTTTTCAATTCCCTAACCCTCGCGATAACTGGAGATGGAAAGCTGATCACTTCATATGGCCCTCCAAATTTGGGCGCCAATTTTGCTGCGAAACTCTCCACGGATTTGGATTGTGGATGTTGTTTAACAAGTACCAGATCCCCAATCTGCGGCTTCCACGGACGTCGTCGCAAATTATAATATCGGCGTTGGTCCTCTCCGGCTCTACCCAAATGATGTCGTACAATTTTGAATATTTCTTTCAGCTCCCTTTCCTTGGACGCCGGGTCACGGTGAGCCTCCCCCGTCCCCAATACAACTTCATCAAAAAGTGCACTTGGTAGTCGTGGTTCTCGCCCTTGAACCAGGTACGCTGGACTGTACCCAGTCGTTTCCGAAGTGCTAGTGTTCAATGCCAGTATAATTTCTGGAATACATTCATCCCATCGGTTATGGTGTTTCCCGGCCAGCTGGGCCATCAT